ACCTCGACACAAAGCGGTTTCCCTATAGTGAGTGCGTGGGAAGCCTGTTGTACTTGAGTGTGTGCACTCGGCCCGACATTGCACAGGCAGTGGGCGCGCTTGCGCGCTTTATGGCGGGGCCGACGGAGGAGCACTGGCGGGCGGCGCTTGGAGTTGTGCGCTACCTAGCGGGTACGGCAGAGGACGGGGTAAACTTTGGAGGGAGCAAAGAGACTCTCATCGCTTATTGCGATGCGAATTACGCGGGTGACGTGGACACAAAGCGGTCCACAACGGGGTACGTCGTCCCGATGTATGGGGGGGCGGTGAGTTGGTCGAGTAGGCTGCAGCCAACGGTGGCGGCCTCGACAATAGAGGCGGAATATATGAGCGCAGCGCAAGCGGTGAAGGAGGCGCTGTGGTTCCGCAAACTCGGGGGAGACCTTGAGTTGGACTTTGGGACGGTCCTGATCTACGGTGACAACCAAGGGGCAATACGGTCCTCAAGCACCCAATCGCTTCACTGCGGTCGAAGCACATTGACGTGATTCATCACTTTGCACGGGAGCGTGTGGCATGCAAGGAGGTCGCGTTCGCGTACTTCGGGACGGAGGACATGAAGGCGGACATCACGACCAACTTGAAGGCGTGAGCACCGAGGAAGTTCAAGAAGTGCAAGAGCGAGATAGGAATTGCATAAGTCATTAGTGTGTGGGGGAGTGTTGAGATTCGGGCATCTAGTGTGCGCAATCTCTTGGGTGACGTCGACGGGAGTTCGACGATAACCGGTAGTTAGCGGTTGGCGGTTAAATGCGCGCGGGTTACAGCGTTACACCCGAATGACTTATTGAGATAAGCGCCGTAATGAGTAGGTTCGATAATAGCCGTAGATATTCAGATTTGCGCGAGATCTTCGGACTTGCTTATCCGCGGTCAACTGAGCCTACTAGGCTATCAGTGTAAACCTAGACTAGGAGTGTGACTCTACTTGAGTGAGTCTAGCATAGCACAGAGACTGCAGGGCTTTAGCGTTGCTAGACTTCGAACACTCAATATGTATTGTGTGAACTTAATCATTCGATCATTCATTCCGAACAACGCCGTGTTTCAACAAGCAAGAAAACGAATTTGAGGAAGTCTGCGCCCCAGTGAGCAATGCACACGACTTTGCGGGCGCTCCTAGCGGTGGTTGCGGAGCGCAACTTGGAGTTGCATCAATTGGACGTCAAGACGGCGTTCCTCAACGGTGAGCTCGAGGAGGAGATCTACATGAAGCAACCGAAGGGGTACTAGCTCAAGGCGGGCCCAACGTGGTTAGCCACCTCAAGCGCACTTTGTACGGTGCGCCAAGCCCCGCGTGCGTGGCACACGCGGTTGAAGGGGGAGCTCGGGAACTTCGAGTTCGTGGCCTCTTTTGCGAATGCGGCGCTTTTTGTGGGAGTCGTGAACGGGCAGCGGGTTACCTCGTTTGGGTCGACGACATCCTCGTGGCAGTCCGGGGAGCGGAGCGAATTGCGAAAGTGAAAGCGCAATTGGCGGACGAGTTCGACGTGCGAGACTTGGGGGAGGCAACGTACTTCCTCGAGATGGAGTTGGCGCGCGACCGGTAGGCGCGAACTTTGAAGCTCGCGCAAGAAGCTTACCGGAGAGCTTGTTGGGCGGCACGAATTGGCGAGCGCACGGGCGCGCTCGGTCCCCCTTGGTGTGGGGGAGAAATCGACGAGAGAGGGTGAGCCGCTTG